TGCTAGTTATTTGTTGATTTAAATATACAGGTAAACATAGTGCCCTATGTTGCAAATTACTTATTCTGTGAAAGTACCTTAACTGAAGTTTCATCAAACTCATATTTTGAAGCCCATATTTTAATGCAAAGTCCATATTCTAAACAAACCTTACTGATGCCCATAACTAAGTTCATGCCTTTGGTAAGTGGTTACGCTGTTGTCTTTTTGACAAAAGCAGCTGCCTCTACACAGGCATAGTTTAATTGCCGATTGCAGCAGAGAACATTTTTGGTCAAAGGCATGGATAACATTTGAATTTTCTCTGTAACTCTCCTCTGCTTTTTACATGAATTTGACTTAATTATAGTCACCTTGATAATATCATGTATTTTCTGAGCAACATACTGTAGGCATTGCTATAGGCTTTATACTGCAAACAGCATTCATCCTATTGATTGCATAACTTCACCACAGTTAAGAACAATACAAATACAAAAGTAAACCGGTTACTTTCAGTAGGGCCAGGAACTAGAAATTTGTTACATTCCAGGCAATTTTCCTTCCCAATCAATTTAGACTGAACCACATCTATCAATAAGAAACTTTTTGCATTTCTCACTTGCTGTTCTGAGAGTAAACTTCCAAGCAGTTCACTTTTCTTTCCCAGAACTGGAATGAATCCATCTCAATATTTGAATTTTTACCTCTCCTCATTTTTCCATTCCCCCGTCCTTAATAAGTATTCAGTAATTGTTCTAGAGGTGATCTCTCTATTCATGAGGTTGATATATTTATTGCCCATCAACCCACACAACTGGGGCACCGTGCACAGTTCACAGATAAAACATGATTTATCAGGCAGAAATTAATTTTCCTGCAGTCTTTCATTCTTAATTATCGGAGAACCTGAATGACTCTGTGAAAATCAGAATAGTAATAATGGTACTCACCAGAGACAATTAGCTTGGTTCCTGTGCCAAAGTATTTGATCCAGGTGCTCCACACTATGTTTTGACTTTGCAATAAGCTAACATGCTCTCTGGCTATGCCATTGTTGAAAAAAATCCAATTTTTTTCCCAGTCAGCCCCAGGAGACAGAGTGAAGGTCCGGCCCCTGGCTACTGGGAGGATGTCAGAAATTTCAGACCCACACCTGGTTGTTCAGCTCATATCTAATGCCCCTCAAAGCAGATCTCTTTCCTAAAGTGTTGCAAATTCGTTAGATAACCTCTCCCCTTAAGCCTAAGAATGAGGTGAAGGCTTCTCTTCAATTTTAGACACACAAATAGGTGCACAGGGTTGTGCATATTAAAAAATACATACCTTCAGGTGACGATCCTGCTATTTCCCAAAGGGGTACACCCCCCTCTCATCTGCAGCTAAGTGACATCAAGTACTACTAGCATGGAGTTCATTTTTAGTTGTCTTAATACAATTCAGCAGAGAGAAAGGAGGGAGAGCCAGCACCATAAGCATTGCGAAGGTGTCTGTGTGCTGCAGGTTGGATTTTCTGTCCCCAGTACGTGGCCCATCTCCTGGAATCACTCCAGGCTCTGCAACAGCAGCTCATCAGCATCTTTTCATATATTAGCTGGTGGGAGGAGGAGGCTTTTCCTTTGTGTGCGGGTTTCTTACAAAACAGCCCAAGATAACACCAGAGGAGTCACTGCTATTGTCGATCAAACAGCCTGCATGCTTACTTTGCCATTTAAAAGAAAGTGAGTTTGAGTGCCTCTGGGATCTCATGTGGCACACCGACTGCAAAACAACGTTAAGAAATTATGATTTGTGGCTAGAGGGAGGAACTAGACTGAGGATGAAGGTCTTTCAGTTGAAGTAGGTGTAACAAAAGCAATTGTCTATTCTGAAGGCTCCTGGGCAGGAACGTTGTAATCGTAACCACAGATCAATGGCAGAAGTGACGTAGACAGAGAACGGTGCCCATCGGTGCTTTTCCTGCCATGTCCTTAGACACACAGCGAAGGAGGCCACCACCATCTCACCCGCAGTTGCTGGGACTGTTGGGTTATGGTCATAACAGTAGGTAGCTGGTAGGTCTCCAACTGTTTGGGTGATTCAGATGCATCACTATTATGATGAACAGCAGTGAAACACAGACATTGATAAGCAAGAAGTAGGGGGCAGGAGGCAGATATAGCTCCAAAAAAATGAACAGGTATTCGCCCCTCCAGATGCTGGGAGGAATAAGTAGAAAATCTTCCTCCTCCGAGAGCTGCTAACTTTTAAGCAAAAATAACATTTCTTTTCCTTTGCTAAAAATTCTACAAACCTTCGGGATAAAAGCTCTCTATTTCAGTTTTCTTTTTCAGGCCAAATGCTTTGAAGAGCTCCAGTACAACATGCTGACCTATTTCCAGGAACACCACTATGAAAATGTCCCCCTTTCCATTAAATAAATCCTTACAACCAGATCACTGGCATGCTTGAGCCAAAAGAAAGACAAGCTGGAATGGAGAGGATGGGTTAGGTATTGGACAATCACCATTCCCTTTGCACTATGCAGTTGCTCAGTTGAAATCTCTTAGCTTTTGGCAGCTGATGCTTCCAAGGAGTCAATCAGCACCGAGCATATCCTGCTTCTCCAGAGCCTGTGTGTGAGGCCAGGCAGCTCATCCACACCAGGGGAAGTGAGTTGGGATCTTTTGAGTTGTTTGTGGTTGAGATGCTGAGGCAGTATTTGTCTTAATGATCTCTCAGTTCCTACCATGGTGACTATGCCAGTAGGTGCAATAGTAGGTAGCAGTGTTGACTGGAATGATATTGTTTATTGTAAGAATACAGAGTTTCCAGCTAGAAACATTTTCAACCATGTAGCTGTATGCTTGGAAGCCATCATCTACTTTTTTTGTCCCTGTTAAGTAGAGAATCCTCTCTGGAGCTTTATTCGCCTTCCATTGATACCAGTGTATGACGGTGCCATCAAAATCTCAAGAGACATCTCTAGAGTGACGTTCCAGGTGCACACTTCCTTTAGTCTTGGTGACAGACATAGGGCACTGCAGAGGAATTTGTTGTGCAAATCCACCTAGGAAAACAGAAGAGGAGAAATGATGTCATTATCTGGAGTTCATGGATTTGGGAAGATGCCTGTTAGCACAGCCATGGGTGCCTGTGAGGAAAGGTAGGGAAATAAGGAAGGACTTACAAGACCAAGCGGCTGTGGCCACAAGCGCTGCCAGCAGCAGCATGTTTGCTTGTCACGCTCTGCTGTCGTTGAGACTCAGAGGAGAAGGAAACTGGCCCTGGTGCAGAGTGAGAAATGCCGTGTGGGAGGAGGAGGGGCCTCCCTTGGGTGGCAGCTGGTGACACGGCACACCAAGCCAGAGGAAGGTGTCCCCTGATGTCGTGCAGGGAGCAGTGGGGATGGGGGAGGAAGCGGGAAGGGAAGGGAAGGGAAGGGGAGGGAAGGGGCGGGGAG